CAAGTCTGGTTCATCAAGTTCCAGATAGCTAAAGCTCTCATGTACACCTTCAAATATAAATATCAAGGGGTTATCCAGTCTTATAGTTAAGAGATGATTTCTATGTCTCACAGTTGAATATATGAGACCATAGAAACAACAATTCCAGAAAAAAAAACCTAGATAAGTTATATAGATCCAGGTTGACTTTGGTTTTTCAAGTGTCCTTATCCGTAGTAAAATGTGTTCTTTATTTAGTTGAAAGGCTACTCAGATTAGAAGAGGCTATTACTCCAAAAGTGACATAAGAAGACAGATTTCAGTTTGTAAATGCACTCAAATTTGAAAAATGTATAATTTTGGGGGAAAGAAAATCTGTTATTCTAAGTGTTTGGTTGTTGTATCATTAGCAAACTGCAAGTGCTTGCTAGCTGAGAAGACATCTTATCATTAAAGTAGGAGGTTGGCTGCATGATGATGAGGGGTTTTACTGCAGTATAGATTGATGTATTTCACAGAATAAATGGCTGAAGCAACACCTCAGGGTTGAATCTAAAGCGTATGGAATGAACATAAAGGGTGTGAGAAAGTTTGTACAAACCTGACTCATGTACTTAAACCAGGAGGAATGGGAAGAATTTCAGAACGTGCTGTGCTTGAGACAATAGTGGAAGAATACCCAAAACACTTGAGCAAAACCGTTCAGAAAGGTGATTCTACTTAGAAATTGGATGCAAAATTCTAGATTTGATGCTATAAAAAATAATGGAAATCATTTTAGGAATAATTACTGACCTTAAATGAGAATAGTATAGTGTGGTTAATTATTGTCAGACATAAAGAAGAAAAGAACAGTTATTCATCTTTTTGTTCCATGTATGTAATTATCTGGTTTTATGTGAGCATATTGATTAACGGTAGATTAGCTTAAACTGAGTTTGTTTCGGTTTCTTTCCATTGTGTTGTCCTGTGACGGTTGCCAAGATACTGGATCCTTCCTGTCATTTCAACCACACCTCAGCCGAAAGAATAGTAATTTTCTGCCCCCTAGTGGTGATAATAAGAATAATGTTGACATGAGGTGGTTTTCTAAAACAGAATACAAATATATAAACATTCATAAGATGATTACCAGCAAAAAGTGCAAATTTTCCAAGCAGAATCGGAAAGTGTCCTCTGACGAAAACAGGGGAAAGGAGAAGGGAAGTGAAAAGTGTCTGTTTTATATGTAATTCAGGTAAAACAGGGGAACTACAGAGCAGTGATTCCTCTGTTGTGGGCAATTCCTCATCTAAAAATCAACATTTAAAATAAAAAAGGAAAGAACCCTAATTCCCCAAACGGATCAGACCAATCAACGAAATCGATAAGCTGGAGAAAAGTGAAAAAAAAAGAAAAAAAAGAAAAAAATAAAAAAAATAAGAAATACAAAACACGCAAAAGAAAAAGAAACAAAAAAAAAAAAAAAAAAAAAACTCAAACAAAAACTATCTGAAACAAAGTAAAAAAAATGGCTACTTGTACAAAACAAAGATTAAGCTTTGCTTCATAATTGTTAAGTTTTAAATATATGTATGAATTTAAGGTCTTATTGGTGTGTTAGCACTGTTACCTCTTAGTAAAAGGTGAGAAGTTTGAAATCAGGCATGGGCCTATAGAGTTTGCTCCATCACTTTACAAATAGAAAGCAGATAAATGAAGTAACTTTAATCAAAACATTTAAAACAATGTGTTGGTCTCATTAGTTTTCTATTTTACAAATAAAAAATATATATATATTGTGTTGATGTGTTTTTACACAAAATTATAAACACAGAGTGACCGGCTACCTATTGGAACCTATCAGCAGTGGTGTGAAAAGTTCACACATTTGTTATTTAAGTAGAAGTATAGATACTGCAGTTTAAAAACACACTGGTAAAAGTTGAAGTATCAACTTGACCTCTTTACTGAAGTAAAAGTGAAAAAGTATGTGCTCCAAAAACTACTTAAAGTATAAAAGTAT